TTTTCTGCTGTGTTTTACTTGCATCTATTTGAAAGAGTGAGTGTAAACACACACAAAAAAATATTTTATGTGCTGGAATGTGCAGAAAATAAGTTTAAATGTTAAACAAATTTCTTCGAGTCAGAGAATGTTGCATATATTTAAATTTTTGCTTGATGCATAAAGTTAAAACCTATAAAACAAGTTTTAAAAAGAGACTTTTTCCATTTGATTACATTTTGTATGATGGATTATGCAGAAAAAGTAGAATTGGGCTGAAAGATCTATCGCTTTATCACCTATTCAGGTTGTAAATCGTGTTTCTAAAAAGTAACTAAGTAACTAAGTAATTAATTACTTTTGAAAGTAAGTAATCAGTAAAGTAATGGGATTACTTTTTTGGGGGAGTAATCGGTAATAATAATAATCAAAGTGTTTTTATTGAGTTTTCAGAAAGCATACCATTCATACAGAAAAGCTCGAACTCAAGTCCTACCACACAGTGTAAGACAAAACTATACCCAGACAGAGGAAGGAAAAAAAAAAAAAAGGGGGGGGAGTTGCCAGTTATGGAGTGGATGGAAACTCATCTTCAAAATAGGAAATGAAAGGCTGCCAGACCCTAAAGAATTTCTTGGTGTTGCCCTGTATAGTAAATCTGAGATGTTCTAATTTGAGGTGTGCCATCACCTCCTCCACCCAGCGTTTATGGGATGGCGGTGTTGCCTTTATCCAGTTAAATAGAATCAATCTCCTAGCCAGCAATGAGGCGAATGCTATTGCCTTCCTCTGAGAGGCTGTTAGTTGAGTTTCCCTCGGTGCCACACCAAAGATGGCTGTCAGAGGCATTGGTTCCATATCTTTATTATAAATGAATGAGAATGTTCTAAAGATGTTAGCCCAAAAGTCTTTCAGCCTGGAACAAGACCAGAACATGTGGCATAAGTTGGCTGGCACCTGTTTACATCTGGGGCAGGTCGGATCGGCCCCCTGGTACATTCTTGCCAGTTTCTCCCGTGACAAGTGGAGTCTGTGTAACACCTTGAACTGTATCAATCCGTGTCTCACACATATAGAAGCAGAGTGTACTAGATCTACAGCCCCCCCCCAGTCAACCTCTGAAATGTCCAGCTCCAATTCTTCCTCCCATTTCCATCTTACATTGTCCAGGGAGGGGGAAGCCACATTCTGAATATGTGTATATAGCGTGGAGATTGTCCCCTTAGCAGGCGGATCTGTGTCCATCAACTCGTCTATCCATCCGCTTTGTGGAAGCTCGAGGGAGGGGCTGAATGACTTTTTCACAAAGTCCCGAACCTGGAAATATCTAAAGTATTTAGTCTTGGAGGAGATTCCATAGTCCTTTTCCAGTTGAGCAGCAGACATAAAAGTACCATTTTTAAAAAGATGTTTGACACATTCCACCCCAGCTCTATGCCATTCCCTAAAGGCTGTTCCCCCGAGGGCTGGGGGAAACAAGTGATTTCCATAGATGGGAGCAGACAGGAGGGCGGTTCTGTTTTTAAAATGTGATCTGAATTGAGTCCAAATTTTCAGAGAATTAGATACCACCGGGTTGTTTGTGTAAAGATGTTTGCTCAAGGGTAGAGGAGCGCAGACCAGGGAGCGCAGGGACACTGGACTAGAGACATACCTTTCCATATTGAAGGAAATTGCCGTCCCGGGTTTCCTCCGTGGCGTGAGCGATAAGCAGAGTTTTATCCTTTCCTTATAAGACTCCTAATTATTCAAAGTAACACTCAGGTATGCCGTTCAGCTGGGTTAGTTACGATATTGGGAGCAGTTAGGAGAACAAAGTGATACAGAGACTGTTCAGATTGCTTTCCCAGAATCAACTCAAAGGTTTATTTGGTACACAGCAGTTTATATAGAGAAAAAAAGGTTCGTGTGTCAGCTTTCCCAGTTCAAACTGGTACAGACTAAATAAGGAAACGTCTTCCTGCCTTCTGAGCAAAGTATCCTTGTGTAGTTTATCAGTTCAGCTACAATTTATGATCATCCCAGCAAAATACACTCCTAGACATAGAATACAGAGTTCTTTCATTAGTGAATTCTGAAACAAACCACCTGGCCTTTAACGAGCCTTTTCCAGGAGATAAAGAAAAAGGGAGGATGGGAGTAAGGAAGTGGTCTCGTCTCTGTGGTGTTTTCGACCTTGGGGTACCAGCTTGTGAGTCTTACACATTAATTCTTGGGTCACAGAGAAAGAGAAAAACAACTAGTAGATGGGCCTTATTGAGTAACAGCTTTCCTGTATAAAACAATATCCTGTAAATGCTAACCGTGGTATCAAAATATCACAACACATATGAACCCATATTGGGGTTTCATCCTCATCTAACTCTTTGACCCAAAATAACAACTTATGTATATTAGCAGCAAAATAATAGTGCATATAGTTCGGCAGAGCCAGGCCTCCCTCTTCTTTCTGTCTCTCAAGAAACTCCCTTCTTATCCTGGGGACAGTTTTTTTTCCAAATAAAGGCAGACGTACATTTGTTCAATTCCTTAAAAAATGATTTAGGAATGAAAATCGGTATCGTCTGAAATAAATAGAGGAGCCGCGGCAGTATATTCATTTTAACAGAATTTACCTTCCCTGCTAATGATAAGGGGAGCGATGCCCACCTTTCCATATCTAATTTCGCTTTGTCCAGTGCAACTTTAAAGTTATAGTCCAGTAAATCTTTATACTTACTAGTTACATTAACACCTAAATATGTGAATCTATCCTTATGTATTGCAAAGGGATAGGCCCGGAAAGAAAGTTTCCTCGCCTGTTTATTAATGGGGAAAAGAACACTTTTGTCTAAATTAATTTTATAGCCCGACGCCCTCCCAAAATCTTTGATAATACCGAGGGCCACCGGGATACTAGTGGCAGGGTTTGACAGGAAAAGGAGGAGATCGTCAGCATATAAGGACAGCCTATGGTTTTGTGTCCCCCTTTGTATCCCTACCAATTCAGCAGCCTGTCTCAGCATCATTGCAAGGGGTTCAATTGCCACATCAAAGAGCAGGGGTGACAAAGGGCACCCCTGCCTTGTTCCCCGGAATAGAGAGAAGGGTTCAGATATGATATTATTCGTTCTCACCATAGCCTGGGGGCTCGAATAAATTATTTTAATCCACGAGCAAAATGTTGGACCAAAGCCGAATCTCTCGAGGGCCATAAATAGATAGTAATACTCTATTCTATCAAAGGCTTTGTGGGCATCTAAGGATATCACAATCTCTGGCATAATGTTATCTCCAGCAGTATATACTACATTGAACAGACGGCGGAGATTGCTGGAGAGTTGTCTACCTGCAACAAACCCTGTCTGATCAGGATGTATTATCTTACTTATAACAAGCTCAATTCTAGCTGCCAGTACTTTGGTCAGTATTTTATAATCACATCCAAGTAAACTTACTGGGCGATATGACTCACATTTAAGTGGGTCCTTATTCTTCTTAAGGAGTACAGAGATCAAGGCCTGTGACATTGTTTGGGGCAGAGCTTTTTTATCAAGAACTTCCTTAAATACTCTGCAAAGTAAGGGAATCAGTGCGGGAGCAAATGTTCTATAAAACTCACTTGGGTACCCATCAGGGCCCGGCGCTTTTCTTGTCTTCATACCCCGAATTGCTTTGTCTATCTCCATGACAGATATGGGTCCCTCTAACCTATCTCTATCTGCTGCCTCTAGTGGTGTTGGAGTAATCGGTAATTAGTTACTGATTACTTTTTTCAAGTAACTTGACCAACACTGATCTCCAGCCTTCTTATTTCGAGCTGAACCCGCCTGTTCTGGGCCTTCTCCTCAGCCTCCAATTGTAGACGTGCCAGCCGCACCTTCCTTCCTTCCTCTCAGAAAGGATTTTATCTTCAGGTTGAAGATTGTTTTGTTCTAGTTATAATTAGTTGATACTGTTATAATAACCACCGTTATCTGTTTATGTTGACTCTGAATTCTGACTCCTTCTTCGAATCCTGTTATTTATTTATTTGCAAAGTATACATTACCCTCTCATCCCTTAGACCTAGAATGATTGAGTCTGGAAACTTTGTGGCACCATCATCTGTGAAGAGAACCACCAGTGGCAGATCTCCCAGTTCTGACGTTATCAGTGAAATGCTAAAGCCGCTTGGCTGTAAGCACAGGCTCCACTAGTTAATCTCAGGCAACCCTCATGGAGCATGTTTGGTCAGAAACATGCATGACTGTTGGAGGTCATTTTGTCGGGGTCTAGTGGTGCTCCTATTCTTCCTTGCATAAAGCAGCAAATAATGGTCCTACTGCTGGGTTGAAAACCCGGACAGTCTGAGGGGCAAGTTCACAGTGCTGGGTGAACTGAAACATAATATCCCAGAGGTGTTTTGTTGGCTGTAGGTCAGGTATTAATTCCTTCATTATCCAGAAGCTACCTGCATACTCTTGCCGCAGGCATTGATGTGTAACAGGAGGACCCTCTGCAGCACTGATGTGTCTGACAATGGGTCCAAGGATTTAATCCAGACACCTAATGGCAGTCAGGGTGCCATTGTTCAGCATTTATAGGTCTGTGCATGCCTCCATAAATATGTCCCCCTAAATTGCATAACATTGTCCATGACTTCTCCAGACCCTTTGATCTTCTGTGACATGGCGAACAATGAAAAGCACAGGGCGCCAGTGGGCTCTCAGACCACCCTCATGAAGTTTGTTTCTGATTGTTCAGTGACTTTCACAAGCAAGAAATCAGATTACTTTGACACTCTGGTGTATCACAAAAACACATGCCTCAGACCAGAAAGCTGGAATGTAAATTGAGTCTTACTAACCTTCACATGACCCGGAAAACTAGTTTGCTTCTCATAAACAAACAAAGCATGTCTTGCTTGGAGGAGGGCCTGGTGTAGACCCAGGACACACCGGCTTACTGCTTACCGACTGGTCATGGATCAGCAATTGACCAAAAATGATTGCATCAGTCAATGAGTTTAATCAGTTATATTAACCCCCCCCCCCCCCCCCCCCAAAAACAAAAAACAAAAACAAAAAACAGATGTGTCATTGCATATGCTCTGTAGTTTGCATTGTAAAGGTATTTTGCTATAAAATGGTCAATGTAATTCAACAGAGGACCAATTAGTTGGCTGATGGGATGAACATAAGACTCTTAAAGTACACAGGTTTTTGCTTTCCTTTTTAAAACAAAAAAAACATACAATATCTGTATATATTATCTTTAATTTCAATGTTTAGTCTAGTCTTTAGCTGGAGGCTGAAACAGAACCTTTTTTGTCTGATTGGCTAACTTAACAACCCTTTCATACTCTCTCTCTCTCTCACACACACACACACACACACACACACACACACACACACACACACACACACACACACACACACACACACACACTTGCAGGGCTAGCAGATTAGGGTTCATAGAAAAGGGAAGAGTAAAAGGCAGGTTCAGAGTGGCGGCTGCGGTAGCGAAGAGTGATGTCATTGATCATGTGCTTTCTTCTAATGTGAGGTGGTGGAGTAGAGTCACTTTCTAACAATCTTCGGTGGCACCAGTTTATCATCATCTCCCTAACCAAAAAACCTGGAGACAGCGAGACGGTCAGACAGGAAAAAAGGCAGTCACAGATGCAGACATGAAGACAAGGAGACACATACCCAGTGACCTCTTGCTGACCACACTCCCGCTGACCAATGGGACTACCAAACCAAACTTGCTGGTGGTGTTTTCACTGACATGGATTCGGTAGAGTCCAGTTTTCAGAGGATGTATAAAAATCAGCTGGATTGTGGATATACTAACAGATTGATGGACAAAAGTGTGTTTGCACATTTTAAGATTTTTCATAGTCTTAAAGCGTGAGAATGAATGAGTTTTACCTCATCTCTGTTTGTGACCTGGTATGTGACAGGAGACCAGACACAGGGAAATTCTCTGAAACACAAAAACATATTTATCCTCCATTCACGGCATAGACAGATTAGATCCAGATCACCTACATTAATAGTTAATCTGCCACAGGCCAGGCCATTAAGATTCCAGAGCCTGTGTTTAAACATGTATTGAACTGTGTGAGTAGTATAACACTTTGTCTTTGAGCTGGCCTGAGTGTGTTGATCACTCTATGTGTCTCAGTCTCTTCAGCAAACTCTTCTGAATTTAAGACATCTCTCACTGGTAGTCTCTTTGTCTATGTGATCTGTAATGTCACCATGGACTTTAAATTTGCACAGAGCAAGCATGAACTTCTGTTTTCAGAAAAATGAATCATAGTTACCAATGTCCTCGAACCGTTCGACCCAGACTATCATCAAGTTGCATTCAGGGCTGTTACATGGCATCATTGCTGGATAACTCTGCACAGACATGAAAGATCAAGAGACAAGTAAGAAACGAGTACGTAAGATACAAATGAGAGGAACAAGGAAAAAAAGTCTTTTATTTTGAAAGTCCATACATTGGATTTAGAGTGACGTGGTAGGTTGAGTGGTGACTCAGCAGGTGGGAACAACACCTCTGAACTCTTTGACGAGCCATCTAGTTCAAAGAAAACAAAATGGGTCAAATAAAATGTATTCATACAAAATTTAGAAATTACTCACAACCTTATATGGTGACATGCATTCTTAAAATCATAGTAAATGTTAGATTTCACACTATTATGTTTTAGCAGAAATATTCAATATTTAATGTAAATATTAATTCAAAAGTTTCACTTATGAGTGATTTTCTGTTTTATTGACACTCAGATTTGAAGATTGGGCGAGTCATAGGTGAAGCTCTTTCTTGTTCCCAACCAGATCACATCAGGTTTAGCCATGTTTCAGTGTTTCATGTTCTTTGAATCATCTTATTTTTAACAACTTTGCTTAATTACAGGAGTGTTGATTTGAATACAAAAAACCAAAAACCAAAATGAAGACATAAAACTTGCATCTCAAACACTAACATGCTTCCTCAAGTCACACACCACACAAACCCTCTGGGTCAGAAGTTTGGATTAAGTGTTTCACTAATGTACATTATGTGTTACCATGACTGTGTAGCAGTGATGGGACAATGAAGGTGAGCTCTGTCAGACAGTCTGTGAACATCAGGATGAACCGCTTCCCGTCAAACACACTCCCTCCGCTGTCACCCAGCACAGAAGAAAATTCTGGTAGAAAGAAAATAACCAATCTGCATCAGCAAGAAAAGCCTTAAGAGTGTTCTGTGAATGGCCCAATCAGCAACACATACCGGATCTGCTAGTGCTGACCCTGCCCACCTGTCCCACCTCCACCGGCCAACCAAGAGATGACAGGAAGTCAAGGAAGTGTGAATGGACATTGCAGGCCGACTCCACATTCTTCAGGATCTATACACAAACAGATAATAAAATTAACACAACAAGAGCAACATTTTCAAAAAACATTACAACAATTCGCAAATAATTGTATCTAGATCTGACAGTGTGTCATTGTCCACACAAAATGACACTGAAAGAGAAGAAAACAACTTTAACCGATCTAAAACTATATACAAAATATATTTAATTGAAACAAATGTTGAACACTGTCAGCTGCTCATTTAAAACTCTATTTAGGTTGCCTCAGCCTCTGTCCTCTGTGCTGCTCCCATGTAGAAGATAAAGGTGGAATCGTAGATTCTTGATGGCTGCTGGTCCAAATTTCTCAGGCTGTCAAAGAAACCAGGAAGAGATGAGTCGAGCACCACAAGCGGAGCTGGAACACCACTGATACCTGGATCCTACAGAGAGAGACACACAGATAAGCACACTTACACTTGTAAATACAATCAGGTACATAAGTGTTTGGACAGTGACGACATTTTGCCAATTATGCTTCTGTATACCACCACCTGATTTTAAATCAAACAATTAACATGGTATTGAAGTGCAGACATTCAGCTTTAAGTCAAAAGTATTACATCAACTGTTTAGCAATTACAGCCATTTTTATACATCATATCGTCAGAGGCTCAAAAGTAACTTTACTTAAGTTACATTTTATTTATATAGTGCCAAATTGCAACAACAGTTGCCTCAAGACGCTTTATATTGTAAGGTAAAGGCCCACAGTAAGGCAGTGAAGACCCCAACAACCAGGCGACCGCCTATGAGCACCTCTTTACCTTTACACTCTCAGGTGTCAGCAGGCCCAAGTGGGACAGGAACAGTCTTGCCGCCTGGAAATGGGTGACAGGTGGAGGAGGTTTACAGGTCATCGGGACAGCCGAACGACTGCTCGCTTGTGGTCGAGCCTCGACTTGCTGCTGTCTCTTTAAAGCTGTTCGCAGATGTTCTAGTTGCTGCTGCACCTGGCCAGTAAAAGGTTACACCTGGAATTACACTGTATTTACAACTGTCACACCTAACCAGTTCAATGTACTCAGGAAATAGTTTCAGTAATTGGCTTAACTATACCTAACAACCACAATCATCAGTCCAGATTTTCTCAGTCTCTATATGACTGCATCATCATATAAAGTAACCATTCAATCAACGTGTTTAGAAGAACATACCAAGTTTTAAGGAGAGAAAAAATTAATTACTGAGGAGCTGCCCGAGTCATAAACAGTCATCTATAACTGATAATTCGTTTTAAAGCAGGAGCATATACTAATATACTGGGTTTCATCCAACTTGGTTCTTACCTCCTCAGTAATGGTCTCATGCAGAGCTGGAATACTATGATCTGCTTTAACTGATGGAACTGTATCAAAACTTTCAGAAAGCAGCTGCTGTTTGATAACAGTTTGTATTCTGGCATCTTCCTGGGCCATGCTGTGCTGTTCTGGTATCAGGGGTTCCTGAAAACAATCATCAGGTAAGAGAGAGAAGAAATGACTGACCTAACCTGAAAAAAGTACTACAAAATATGACTTCACAAACTAATGGAAGACATCTAAGTGGCTGCGCACATCTTTTGTATAATCTATTGTAAGCTATGATAAAGTCCTCTGAAGGAATGCACAACATATACTGAATCATACTGCATCAGCTTGGAAGTGGCCACCTGTGTGTCAGCTTGTCCCTCGTGAGGCTTTGGACAAAGCTCTAGACTCCAGGTGTGGCGTCCTGACGCTCCCCTGGTCACCATGATGAGTGATGGATACTGTGCTGCATTCACCATTGAAAAGCAAAAACACAATCGAAACTATCAACGGGCAACTTTGAACCTCCCAAAGATTAGTTTTATGTGGAACAGTAGAAGCTGAAATCTAAAATATCTATTAAATATTACAGTATGTGTCGAGTACTGCCTGCGTTCCTGTTGTGCCAGGATCAGTGTGAGTATGTGATGTGATAAGCCTGTGAATGCTGGAAAGATTAAAGGTTTCTACTGTGACTCTAGCAATACCAGACACATGTGGCAGGGGATTCAGGCAGTAACAGATTATAAGGCTGTGTGACAACAACACCTTCTTAATGAACATTCTTAATGAGCACCCCTGTAATAAAAGCCATCCTTCACGTTGATGAGAAAGTAGTAAATCTCACCGTGGCTGTAAAAACCTGAGGAGAATGAAAATAAAGAAGGCAGCAGGCTGCAACAACATTTTGAGACAGGTACCAGAATGTTGTTTGTCAGCTCAGCATTCAAAACGACCATCTCCCACAGCCACTTACACCCTCATCAACAGACTGCAGTCAGTGGGGAGTAGGTAACAGGATCTCCATCTTTCTGTTCCATGACTGTATCTTTAGGGCAGTTCAGTTTCATGTCTGGAATGATGCATGTACACTGGTTTTCTGCTGCTATTGTTGCTGTGCAATATATTTATTTCCTGTACAGTTTTCCTTAATAATGTAAATAGAAAAACATTAGCTTCTATTCTTTTGTGTACACATCCCAGATTCCTTTTTATCAGTTTCACAATTAGTTGTATCAGGACTCACCCTGTTCACGTCCCAGTGTTTGCTCCAAAAAGGCTAGGATCATGGAGCTTTCCACCACAAAATATCTGAACTTCTCAAGACTGCTGTCACTCTGACAGGAAGAACGAACCAGAACATCCTCATTGAGGATACCACTGACGAAAGGGAATGCCTCTGAAACCTGCATAACACTGAGACAAATACAGACCACATCCTTAAAGCTAGAGATGCCCCAGTCTGATAGTTGGATAGGATGTTTGGTGGTAACAAACCAAGCTACAGCTCATCCATTCAGTATGTTTACCATGGAGCAGGTCAGCAGTTGTACGCTATGTTGCCAAAGGTTTTTGCTCATCTGCCTTCACACGCATGTGAACCTGAGTGACATGCCATGTCGGCACACCCTTTGCTTCGTCTGGAAAGTTTTCCATAAGGTTTAGAAGTGTGTTTATGGGAATTTTTGACCATTTTTCCAGATGCACATTTGCGAGGTAAGACACTGTTAATTGACAAGCTTGGCTTGTAGTTTCTCCTCCAATTCATCCAAAAGGTGTTCTGTTGTGTTAAGGTCAGGACTCTGTGGGTAGGGTCTTGACATTACAATGTAAAGAACCTTGAGGAAACTGTTGTTCTGATTTGGTGCTATATAAATAGTATTTAATTGATTGTATAGAGCACTGGTGCACAAAGGAATTAGAGGAAACCAACAGCAAAGTACAGTGGTTTTGAGATATTTCACTATAGTTACACAGGGCTTTTCTTTTGATAGTTTGCAGTAACTTTAATTTGACTACAAACCCTGATGACTAAAAGGCTGTAAAGATGACAATGCTCTTTCTTTCTGTGTCATTTCATCTCAAATCAAATCACCTCTTTCTGTGATTTCTGTGAAATTTTAGCTTCACATATTAAAATACTTCTCTTGATATTTTTTTATTTTTAAAGAGGCCCATTCACCTACTTTTTGGGAGACAATGTTTTAACATGAATATCTTAAAACATTTAAGGTTAAAAGCCAAAAAGTTTGGACCAATGCACTAATTAAATCTCTTAGCATGGCCGATTTGAAATACAAAAAACAAAAAACAAAAAAAGAGGCAGTACTGTAAAGTCCCACATTGCAATAAAAAATAGAATGTGAGTTCTGTAAAACAAAAACAAAAAACAAAGAAACAACCCCCCCGCTCCTTTTTGTACCGAAATAATTTGTACAAATGATTTTTAAAAAAGGATTAATTAGCACATTTCATAGTTTTGCAAGACCAAGTTTGGCCACATTTCCGTGATCAGTTGTTCAATACAGCACCCTACACCCTACCCCTAACCCCCTAATACTAACACTAATACCATGGCACAACCAAGCATGGATCAGGGTATATAAATAAAACTGAATTGAACTCAATATGACTGAACTTGTAGTAAAATAATGCATTGTTGCCAGCTTCATGAACATTATTTGACTCATTTGTCTCCATTGCATCTGTGTCATGTGTGTGAAGAGCAATAAAAGGAGATTCACTCAGACTGAAAGTATAGCCAGGATCAGAAAGCTTTCTACGATGAAATGTTTAAACAATAACTGCTTTTGACAGTCTTATACCACATATACCACACCTTTGATGAACAGTAACACATTTTTGAAATGACATAAATCCTCGAAGCAATTCATGTCAAAATTCTGTTTTTGTTCCTGTTGCTTGTTAAGAAGCAACCAAAATGCATGATATAAACTAAGTCAGATCTTATATGCAAAACGATTGGTTTCTATAATCTCTACAATCTTAATGTTATTGTTACTGTGATGCTCACCAGCTAAGTGTGGCCTCAGCTGCCTCCTTCACCCTCAGAGAGGCTGGGTTTTGGTCTTTCTCCTCTTTACATCTCACTTTTTGTTCCTGTCTAGACTTACTGCCTGAAATCCCGAGTTCCACGATCTCCAGGACCTCCAACAAACACTCCTGAATAAAGTCAAATAAAACACACACTAAATAAAGCGCATGGATGTTCACCTGCTGGTCAGTCATCTGGCAGTTAGATATCTCATTGATACATAGTGATTAGTTGGTCTGGTCAGTTACCTTATGGCCAAGCAGTGTGGGATGTTGCGTTAACCAGACATTGAGACACTGGAAGGCAGCAACAATGATGGAGTGCAGATCTCTGGAGTGAAGAGGAGGAGGACGACTGCACTGAAAAACAATGTAGGTGCAGACTGAACTGACTACTCGCATCCTCTCTGACTCCTCCACTCGCACTTCCACCTGCAGGGGGATAGGTACAGGATCATAGTGGAAGACTAAGTTTCCCTGTATAATTTTGAGAGATCAAGAGCTTCACATGTCAAGGATGCCTGTAATAATTTGGTTCAGTATAAATAACATTGATTTAAATGTAAGGTTTTCTTGTTGGCTATGTTATTTACCAAGTTTGAAAAATTAGACTTTTATAAATGTCTGGGTTTTGTATTAAAACAAACCATTAGAATCTTGAATCAGATTAGAAGTTTTTTGGAACTGCCAGACACATCTGTACAGACACCAATATGTTTTAATCATGATTTTATGCCCCCTTGGCAAGATAAGACTTATCATGACTGGAGAGAAAAGGGTTTAGTGTCTATTAAGAATATGTATATTGATGATACATTTTCTTCATTTGGTAAACTAAAAGGGAAATATAATCTGCCACATTCACACTTTTATAGATATCTGCAGGTCAGTCATTACATCCAATCCAAGTTTAAAGATTTTGCAACTCTACCGTCGGAGCACGGGATCTACGAAATACTCAAGAGCCAACCTGATTCCAGACAGCTTATCACAAAAATTGTACAGTTACTTGGTGACTCTATTGTAGTGCATACCGTTGGGATCAGGCAGGCTTGGGAAAAAGAATTGGGGATGAATGTGCCTGACTCTATGTGGAGTAAGTGTCTGTCTAAAATCCATTCCTTCTCCATAAACAGCCGACACCAATTAATTCAATTTAAAATCCTATTCTAAGGTCAGACTGCACAAGATTTCTCCTTCTATCTCCCCAATGTGTAACAGGTGTAGACGGGCAGAAGGTACATTGTTCCATTACTTTTGGTCTTGTCCCTCATTAACAGAGTTTTGGTTTAAAATATTTGACTGGTACTCCAAGGCATATATGAAACCTCTACAGCCTGAACCTGAACTCGTAATTTTTGGATGTTCTCCAACGTCAGAGCTACTCCCGGTTAAAGTGCAGGGGCCACTGGAACTAGGTTCGATTGTTGCCAAGAGATTAATCCTGAGGGAATGGAAGTCCCCCACTCCTCCTTCCTTTCAGTTGTGGGTAACAGACACGATGTCCATAATACAGATGGAACCCCTTTTTGGAACACTTTGCAAGAGCCAGATTGGGCTAAACTCTGTAAACGCTCATCAACTTCAGCTTTTTGTATTCTTCTTGTATTGTGAAGTGCAAGTTTGTTTGCATTAAGTGTTTTTTCTGTATGCATCTGAGCCTGTCTGTGGTTGTCTTTGTTTGTTCTGCGTTTGTTTTTGTTTTATATTTTGAAAATTTAAAATAAAATTGTCAAAAAAAAGTAAGGTTTTCTTGATCTCGCTGAGTGTGTGTGTGTGTGTGTGTGTGTGTGTGTGTGTGTGTGTGTGTGTCTCCACCTTGGCCAATCCTCCCAGTACTTCCAGGGCAGACAGACAAACTGCTGAATCATTCCTCCACTGAGACGTCAGACGCTGAGTGAGCAAACGTAGAGATTGAACCCACAAAACTGCCACTGCATCTGATTGGACGCACATTACTGCAGTTAGATTCTTCAGATATGTGGGATTGATAATATAAAACAAATTTAACTGAACTGATTTGTAATTACTCGATCCTCTGGTCCATCGGTTTGAACTGGTCTGACTTGCTCCCAAAGCCTGTTTGAGTTTACTGGTCCCAGTAAGCAGGGGCTCAGTTTCCTGAAAGCAAAAGCAAAAAACTGTTTTTGTCTCATAAAATGAAGGCAAATGTAAGTACATATCCCTAAATATCAGTAAACTCACTTGTTGAGTTCGTCCTGCGGGCTCTAACACAGCTGAATCCTGAATCAGATTCAACATGGCCGCTATACAAACACCAGATCAGAAGTGATTACAATGGAAAAATCTTTCACATCAAACACTCAGATATGAACTTCTGTTAACTGGCTCAAAAACTGACCCCAGGACCAATAATTGGAAAAGAATCAGTAACTAACCCAGGAGGAGCTGTATGTTACAGGTGTCTGCCTCTGTCTGCAGAGCTCCAATCAGGACACTGATAAGGCGTGGCTTCAGCAACAGGAGGGTACTTGTTGCAGCATCAGCGCTTAACTTCCTATCCTGTAACTCCTAAGCAGCAAAGTGAACACTACTGCTACAGTGATCCGGCTCATCTCTGCTCAGGCAAGGGTACGTTTTTAAGCAAGTGCATGATAAGTTACCTCTAACTGGACTGATCCAAAGTGCATAGGGATGGGCAGCAGGGAAAGCAGGACTAGGATGGAGGCTCGCCTTAAATCCACCAGAGTGACAAAATTCTTAAACTTCAGTAGCTCTCTGAGTGAGAGAGAGTATGAGAGAAGCCTTTAGTTTAGTAATATTTACCGTCGTTGAGATTCAGGTGAACAACAAAATCCAACAGCCCGAAATCCTGGTAGGTAATAGCATCTATCAGCATCCATGAGCTCATGACTCAGCCTCCAATCAACTTGCCAAATTCCATAGATGAATTTTACCAATTGCCAATTCCAATTTTAAGTTGTTCTGGGCTGAAAGATGCTTTACAACCCATTCTTCCTCCGTTTCATTCTGTCTGGCTGAGTTAACGTCTAACATTACTAATGTCAGCTTTATTCTGCTATTTAAAAAAAACTCAAATAAACTTTTCTCATTGAACAATTACAGTATTTGCAGTACTTGCACCTGTCAAGCAGCACATTTTCCAGAGCTGAGATAAAGGGAGGTAGCAGTATGTTGACTCCTCTTAGGTCACAGCAGAACAGAGAGGTGGAGTTCAGCAGAATGGAGGCCAGAACAGGGGAACTGGCCTTCTCTGACACTTGAAGACCCTGTACCAAAACCAGGTAGAACCTTGCAGAATAAGAGATGGAGAACCATAATCATTACACTGCTCAAAGATGGGTGGATAGCTCTGAACAGGTGAACAGACAGGTACCTGGACAGGTAGACAGACAGAATTTCCTCTGCCGTCTTCCTGCAGCTGAAGATCCTGCAAAGTGTCCCACAAGCCTCAGCTCGACCTGCCGCCCATCCATTTGACATCACAGCAACATCACCCTGCCCAGCTAGAGAAGACAGTTCAGTAAGTAAGATATGGAAGCACAGCAAGAGTACACAAGGAATACAAGAACTACTGTACTGTGCCTACTATGTGTACGTGTAGTATGTGTTTTGCGTAAACAATACTGCAGAGACAAACCAGAGTCTCTGCTGATTAGTGCAGCATCAAACAGCCAGCAACCAAACAGATGTAGAAGGTGGTCCACATTACACCTGAGGGGTGAGGGAGAGGGTCTGAGAGATGAACAAAACAGGGAGGAGAAGGAAGGAAGCTGGGAGAAAGATTTCCAATGGCATGATGGAATCTGAAAGAAAGGAACAAGCAATAAGTTAAAGAGATCAAGAAGTGCTACATGACAAATGAAAAAGAAGTACTGTGGTACCGTGGGAGTCTTGGTGGTTGTCTTGGAAAAATTTGCTGCTGTCACTTGTCTGTTGTATGGAGGGGAGGAACTGGTTGAGGAAGGGGAGCTTGGCATGCTCAGTACATTCACTGGAGTGGGTGGTGCACTGCCAGAACGAGGCCGGGAGATACCTGAGAAAGAAAAGGAATAGCAGCACCATTTCGCTGATATTTACAAAAAGAAAAAAAAGTGTGCAAGTGGCTTTAATCTTCTCTCATTGGTGTATCAGAGTTGTAAGTGGGGATTTGGAAAGGTCAGAGTTTCACTTGTGAACAAAATAGACTAATTCAATTTGACAAAGACTTTAAGGAAGACAATAGCAGCCCATCAAGTGGTAGCACTGTTGAGGAGAGAAAAGAATATGTCTTTATATGTAATATGTAATATTTCAGGAAGCCTGATGGCCACAAGCTTTTTAGCTTGTTTTCCAAGTAATATCCATTCATCCTGTTATTATCTTGTGCTTATCCAAAGTTGGGTCGTGGGCGCAGCAATGATCCTTCCAGAAGTCCTGCAATGGTGAAAATCTGCTCCACTGTTTCGTGCCCAGAGCAAAATCTGGTCAGTGCCTCATTTCAGCACCATCGAATAAACTTCCTCCAGAAGGCTGAGAATGGTAATAACCCAATAATTGGAGCAAACCCCCACCCCATCAACATATTTTCTAAGTGCAAACCATCACCCTGATCTGTCACTCTACAGTGAAACTGAACTGAACTGAAGTCAGTGGTTATCTGTGGAGCTTACCATAGGAGGGCAGACGGTCTCTGAACGGGCTTTTGGTCACAGAAATACCTAGAAGGAAAAAAGAAAAAGAATTACCAAGCTGAAATAGTTAAACCAAAGCATTGATGCCAATTTGGCCTAACAAAACATACATAAATAAACAACAATAATAACAATAATAATAATAATAATGATAAAATCTCTAGAATATTTATACATTGTTGATCTAATAAAGGTTTGGGTCGGGTTGTACTTCATGGTGCTAAACTAAATTAAGTGAAATTAAGCATGGACCAGAGTTGGGTATGATGCGTTACAAAGTAACACATTACTGTAATCACATTGCATTTTTAAGTAACACAGTAATGTAACATGTCACTGCCATTATTCAGTAATTACAATGATCAATTACAATATCAAGAGAATTACAATTATCTTGTTACTTGCATTACAAAAGGTTCTTCATTTATTTCCATGACCAGCTCACAGAAAGAAAAGAAAAACATCAAACATACATGCTTTGTCATTCATGGGCACCTGTGCTACATTCAGCTGATTTCAGTTTGTCTGTAGAACAAAAACGATACCAAAACGCTTTATCGAGTCCACCAGGAACTGAGCGGTGCTCCAAGTGGCAAAGGAGTACCAGTCAAGAGCAAGGACGGCCGCCTCTTAACAACGGCGGAGGAACAAGACCGACGATGGGTCCAACATTTCGAGGAAATCCTGAATCAACTGGCGCCCATGTTGATGATACCCATAGACGCCTTCTGCCCCCTGGATAACCTTCCAGTTAACGTTTATCCAATTACTGTTGCGGAGATAAAAGCCATGATTCAGTCAATGAAGGCTGGCCGGGTCCCGGGGTTGGACGAGATTTCGGTTGAAAAATGGCGGTGACCTTATAGTCGAACAACTTATGGCCCTGCTCAATCACTGCTGGGAGACAGTTCTGAAAGATTGGAGGAAGGATGTCATCGTGAAACTGCCGAAGAAGGGTGATCTTGCTAATTGTAACAACTGGCGTGGGATAACTCTCCTTTCTGTTCCAGGAAAGGTTCTGTGCTCCGTGCTTGTCACGGTTGACGCTGGCCAACCGTGGGGATGTGAGGAAGGAGGACCCAGGCATGGAGATCTGAATATAAGCAGTGCATTTATTTACAGTGAATGGAAAAATAACAATAATTCCTCAGTGCATTCCCGACTCCCGTGTCATGTCCTCTTCCCAGTGCTAGTGTTCCTTGTCTCCGCTCCTCAGTGTCTGAGCACCCCGTGCTTGCTGCCCTCTTGTCTCCACGCTTCTCGTGAAGTCACACAATGATCCAGTGTCGGAGGGAGCTCCATCGCACTCTTAAGTAGCTCCTCCGACGAGGCTTGATCAGCTGTGTGATGGTCTCCAGGTGTGGCCAACCACCTGGCAGGGCCACACCCACCAGGCCTGAAGGTGCCTCAGAAACTCCATCATCCACACACACACACACACACACACACACACACACACACACACACACACACACACACACACACATATACCTGCAAGAAGGGAGAATGAGGGACAGCACACCAAAAGTACACATGTCCATAATTGCTTAGGGACCCTGGTGCGCTCAGACCCAGGACACTGACAGTGCTACTCTGACGTAGGGCTGCTCGATTATGGCAAAAATGATAATCACGATTATTTTCACTGAAATTGAGATCACGATTATTTGACGATATTTATTTCGTCCGCCAGAGCTTATATTATTTTTTTTTACATGCTGTAGTGCCATTTGTGGGAGCATTTCACGTTGCTATACATCAATACAACTGTTATAGCCCATATTTTTAAAATGTGTATGTATTAAGTCCATAGTAACTACATTAATTGCAAAAAAGTGCAATAAACTACAAAAAAAATTGAAAATCGTTTTGTTTGTTTTTTACATATATTTCTACTTGGAGAAATTTAAGAGGTTTATCCCTCAAAACTTTAAATACAAAAAAGTTGCAAAAAATAGTTTACAACAACAGGAAATTTATTTTGAGTGTCTTCATAGTTTTATTTTTGGAGATACAGCAATTTTTATATACTGCAGGAAAAACAAAAAACAATCCTATGATGCAAATTTGCAAAGAATGTGCATGTGCATCAAAATAAACTATTTCCAGCAGTGCAATTTGAGTTCTAAGGCCTACAAGTAAAAAAACTACATTTTCCGCGAAAATGACGTCACTTGCGATAGTTCGCGTTGACGTCTTTTTCAATGTGGGAAGTGTTATGAACAGCTGATCGGATCGGCAAAGCGTGTTTCTGGAATGTTATGTTTTTGTTCCTGCAAGCGCTTTTTATGCAATTTTTGCAAAGCTATATGTGGAAGGAAACCGTGACCTAGGACAAGCTGATGGCATAAGATGTAACTCCTCTGGTTTCATATGGAAAAAAATTTATTGTGCTAGCTTAGCGGTTCAGGTTCTACAGGGATTTAAAAATAGTTATACAAAACGAGCATGCTGCTCTGACCGGCTTTAAAGGGTTAAGAATAACAATGTATTGAATAATGACTTTAAAAAATAATATAAAATAGTGTGCAAATACTGATAACAGCGCAAATGTTTGCAATATAAGAAATAAATGAAAAATGTGAACTTTGCAGTGTTGCTCTGTGGTGCAGCTACGACACCATAGCAAAGTTTACACACTGTGTCTACTTGATCCACATCTGACTCCGCGAACCCATAATGTTTCCACACCACTGAAGTTTTTTTTCTTTACCTTTCTTTTCAACCAACGGCAGTCACTCTCCTCTCCAAATAACTTCTGCTTAGCTTTCCGAGCTTCCCTCGGGTCCTCTTAATTGTTGTGACGCGTGTTTGAAATGCAGAGCAGTGCGCTTGATTTGCCACATGGAGCAGCGCGAGAGTAAAGCATGAGGGAGGGGCTAATAATCGGCTCAGTCATTTTTAATGATCGTTGAAAGCCCAGATCGTAATCGTGATTAAAATTCGATTAATTGAGCAGCCCTACTCTGACGTCTTTGTTTGACAGTCGATCAGCTGCTGCGGAAAGAACAAGCCGGGTTCCGGAATGGACGATCCTGTTCAGAGCAGATTTTTGTGCTACGGACAATAATCGATCAAAGTGCCGAGCTACAGCAACGACTGTCAATCAATTTCATAGACTTTACAAAAGCGTTCGACAGCGTGCATCAAGAAACGATCTGGAGAATTGCCGGTCCTACGGCATACCGGAGATGTTCATTACCCTCCTGAGAAACATCTACCACGAGTCAAGCTGCTGTGTCCATACAGATAGAGGGATTTGGGACTCGTTCGAGATCAAGACACGAGTCCGACAAGGCTTGGTTATATCGCCGTTTCTGTTTGTACTGGCTGTGGATTTCATCTTGCGGCATACCCTGCGGGACAGGGAGCATGGAGTCCAAGGACACGACGGACGACAAATTGCAGATCTTGATTTCGCGGACGACATTTTGCTGCTCAGATCTACTCAACGCTCCATTTGTGATTTGACCACCATGCTGGAAAATGAAGCGTCAAAGATTGGCTTGCAGATCAGCGCTGCAAAAAGCAAAGTCATGCGGCTCGGTTAGGCCAGAGCAAATACTCCGGTACTCGTTGGCCACCACCTGCTTGATGAAGTCAATCAGTTCACTTTTCTGGGCAGTGTGATAACACCGAACAGTGGCTCAGACAAGGACGTCGCCTGTCGGCTTGAAAAGGCAGCATCGGCCATGCGCAACTTGAATCCAGTTTGGAGATCGACCGCCATCTCGATATCATCCAAAGTCCATTTGTTCAATACGATACTCATACCAATGGCTATCTATGCGAATGAAACATGGAAGTCGACGGCAACGATTACCCGACGACTGAATGTTTTCCAACAGCACGGCCTCCGACAGATTCTCAAAATTTCATATCGAGATCATGTTACCAACGAGGAGGTCCTTCAGCGCACTGCACAACAGCTAGCAGACGTGGCATTGGAGCGACGATTTCGTTTCGCCATCACGTTCTTCGCCAACATCCAAAATGATTACCGAAGATAGCCATGTCATGAAGACCTGTCATGGAGCTGCGGACGACCAAAACAGACGTGGAGACGGTCATTCATTGAGGGCCTGAAAGCGGTCGATCTTTCATGGGATGAGGCTGAAGATGTGGCTGCAAACCAAACCCATTGGCGAGCCCTTGTGGCCCAATGCGCCATCCGTCACAGGAGGAACTAAGTCTAAGTAGAACAAAGAGCGGTCTACAGTGGAGATATGGAGATATAGACTTTACTATTACACAAAATAGTAAGGCAGATGTTGAAGTGGAGGATGCCATCCTGTACCTCCTACACAGAGCCCACTCACACCTGGACAAGGGAAAAAGCACGGTCAGGATCCTGTTTCTTGACTTTTCAAGTGCCTTTAATACCATCCGGCCCTGTATGCTTCAGGAAAAACTAAACAGGATGCAGGTGGACTCCTGCCTGGTCACTTGGATCTTAAACTACCTCACCGACAGACCACAGTACGTCAGGCTGAAGGACATCACGTCTGACACTGTGGTCAGCAGCACAGGAGCACCACAGGGAACTGTGCTGTCCCCTCTTCTCTTCACCCTGTACACCTCTGACTTCTGCTACAACTCTGAATTATTCCACATTCAGAAGTTTGCAGACGACACAGCCATCATGGGGTGTATCTGGGATGATCAGGAAGAGGAGTACAGAAGTCTGGTGAGGAACTTTGTCACATGGAGTCACACAAACCACATGCAACTCAACACCTCAAAGACTAAGGAACTGGTTGTGGACTTCGGGAGGTCCAGAGCAGGTCCACTGACAGTTCAGATAGAGGGAGAGGAGGTGGAGGTGGTCAACACATACAAGTACCTCGGGCTGTGGGTGGACAACAAACTGGACTGGTCATGCAACTCAGTGCCGACTGTACTTCCTCAGGAGGCTGAGGTCTTTTAACATCCGCAGGAAGCTCCTGAGGATGTTTTACCAGTCAGTGGTTGCTGGAGTACTTTTCTATGCTGTGGTGTGCTGGGGGAGCAGCACAGCAAAGAAGGACTCATCCAGGCTGGAAGAACTGATCAGGAAGGCTGGCTCTGTGGTCGGCATGAAGCTGGACACTCTGGTGACAGTGGCAGAGAAAAGGACATTAAAGAAACTGCTGGACATTATGGACAATGCCAGACATCCTCTGCACACGGCCATAAACAACCAGAGGAGCCTGTTCAGTGACAGGTTGCTTCTCCCAAAGACCAACAGACTTAAAAACTCCTTGTTCCACACGCCATCAAACTGTTTAACTCCTCTCTGGAGGGGAGAGGGAGGGGAAACAGGAGGACAAAGGAGGAGGGAACAGCTGTAGTGCCTCTTCACTGTGCAATACTTAATATCCAACGGAGCAATAGACTCACAATACTTGAAATGTGCAAATCCCTTGTATTCTTATTCGTATTTATTTTATTTATCCCTTGTGTATACTCTGTATTTATATATATGGTATATTTCTGCTCACATTCTGTAACTTCTGTCGGTGCTGTGCTATTGGAAACCGAATTTCCTGGAGGAACCCACCAGAGGGATTAATAAAGTTTTATCTAATCTAATCTAAAAGACAAAAGAGCAATCAAAGTTATACATTATAGTTCTAACAGAATTGCCACTCTGTAAGCATCTGCAAGGCTAACACAAAGAATCCAGGGCAATGATAAAGCTGGTTAGGCTGACCGCAGCCCATCAGTCTGACTAGGGATGGGTATCGTTTAGGTTTTATCCGATACCGGTGCCAAATCGGTACTTTTGAAACGGTGCCGGTGCTTAAACGGTGCTCGAACCGGTGCTTAAAGAATGGAGAACACAAACTTTGTCCAAAAACCTCTCATGTTCAGCTGGTTTTTGTAAAAAGATAACAATGTTAGCCTTTTCTGCAGCTATGGGGCATATATGGCATCACTCTTGGCTGGAAGCAGTGCTTAAACAATGGAAAAAACACAAACTTTGTCCTAAACCTCTCATGTTTAACTGTTTTCCACTTTTTCTTTGGTCATTTTAGCCTTTTTGTCCAGGGTGAAGGGAGTATCTGCCATCAAACAAGAGGACAGCCGCATGTAACTATGATGTTTGCTAGTTCACCTTACATGCATTAATGTAATAACGTGGTTAGCCTACTCAACGTAAATTACACACGAACAACATTAAGCTACTCACGCAGAGAAGAACGGCTGCTGCTGCATCATCATCCTCATCATTTCTGCTACACTGGCAGGGCTAGGGGCCAGGACTCTCCTCTTCGGGTTTTTGGGGGACTGGCAACCCACCCGACGTGCACGGTGTGAGGTCTCGCAGCAAGCTATCAAATACGGCGCATTTCTCGGCTTTTAAAAAAAACGCTATGCGTCGCCAGCTGTTTAATCGGATTCTTGGTGTTACCTCCTTTGACAGTATCACAGTATCAGCTTAAAGCACTTGTTGCTGCTGAGTTTGCATATTTTGCTGTGAAGTACAGCCAGACTTTTGACCGCTTCGCCTTGGACATTTTTAATCTGTAGCTCTGCTCTAACAGAACGTACGTACCTGGCCCGGCCTACTATCCTCGGAAACGTAAAATGATTGGCTAGAAGTGTATCACAGCCCAGGAAAAAAAAGCACCGAAATGTGCGCTGCTTTTCGGTCTGGTTACTACCGTTTATGTCAGAACCGGTGCCATCATGGCACCGGACACCGGTACCCATCCCTAAGTCTGACCCTGACAAATAACCAAGGCAATGACGAGCCATCAAGTTTGCTTGATGGTCATATTTCTACGGTAGAATCACTCTGGCGATCACTTTAAGATCTGCTTGGATTGGTTTTGAACAACGCTTTGCGTTGTTGGCTTTGTGATCATATGTAAATACTGAAAGACAGACTCCTAATAATTATGTCATAGGTAATTATTTCAATTTTATGAAATAACACACAAGTAATGTAACCAGTAGTGTTACTTTTCTTGAGTAGTGACCCCAACAAAACTATAAAAACAAGTACACATTTGATATCACTATATTAAGTATTATGGAACAGTGCAATTACTCTAAGATCGCTGTCAGCAGGAAATAAGCAGGGATTAAACATTACATTTGTATTCACTCACACGTCCAAATAAAAATAATTGGATTTAGGTGTTCATATTACTTCGATGGCCACAGATGTTTAAATATCAAAAAAAGATCTAGGTGCTTCTACAAACATTTGTGAAAGAATAGGTCTCTCTCATGAGCTCAGTGAATTCCAGCGTTCTACTATGATAGGATGTCACCTGTGCAACATGTTCAGTTGTGAAATGTCCTGTTAGACTGTTAGTTGTATTATAACCAAATGGAAGACACTGAGAACAACAGCAGCTCAGCTATGAAGTGGTAGGCCACCTGAATCAGCAAATGCTGGGAATAGTATGTAGTAGTTATGTTCAACATATGATTTCATATGTTGAACATAACAAGCTAGGAGCATAGCATGCAGCTATGCAGCATAGGTTACCATGACAGTGTATCCCAGTAAGAGGTGAATAACCACTGAACAACACCGAAACTCACTGGTAAACCTAAAATTACCTTGCTAGTTGTTGCTAATCTTGTTTGGTTCTCTCAAATGACTCTAGGTCTAATTTAATTAGTTAACTGACTGGTTTAATCTGATCAGTTTGGGTTACCAAAAGAAGGCAGCCGGTCTCTGAAGTGCAGTTTTGTTGTCATTCCTGAAAAAACACACAAACAAAGCCAGAAAACTATGAATAAAAATGCTTCCTAAAAGTGATGTAATATTTTTGTTAAGGGCTGTGCATTAAAGCTGAATGACTGTATTTCATTTCGGCGCTCTTCATCCCTACAGTGGAGTTTAAGTTAAACAATCAAGGTGTGATTAAAGTGCAGACTTTTATCTTTAATTCAAGGGGTTTAAAAGAAATATTTTATTGTCTATTCAGGCGTTACAGCCATTTTTATCCACAGGCCCAGATTTTAAGAGCCTCTAATGCTGACTGAAAAACAGTTTCATAAACAGTTTCAAGGCCAGTCTTGTTGTTGCATGAAAAATTAAGATAAAAGATCTAGACGTCACTTCAAGTGTTTCACTTGCATTTGCTATGTTTTTACTGGAACTTAATTAATACAAGTGAAGGAGGAACAGTCAGACTGACAAAATAAAACCACTAGTGTTTATGATGATGTGACTGGTGATATGAGAAGAAGAATGAACTCTGAAGTCTCTGAAGCTATACTCTGTGCACTGATTCTGCAAAATGCTGTAAAACTGATCAGATGGGGATCTAGTTAGCCCAACGTCTTTTGACCCTATGAACATGGTGCACTGTTTATAAAATGGCTGCAATTCATGCAGAGTTCATGCAAAACTCCTTAAATTAAAGCTGTACTTCAATCACATCTAGATTTTTTGATTTGGTAGTAGTACAAAATCAGAGATTGCACAAATATTTACGATGTAACTGAATTTGTAATGTGTCATGCATGTAAAGTAGAATGCATGGGTGTGATGGGTTTGTATGAGTTCACGGAGTGTATTGTGTGTATACCAGTGTTTGGAAGGAGTTGTTCTATTGTTTCTTTACTTTCCACAGTCACACCTATAAAAAAAAACTTACAATGAATTCCTCAATGTTTGGTTATCATGGTTAAGTCTCAACTATAATTTCATTTTGGTATTTTTAGAATTTATCTCTATTTTGTGATTAATGACAAGAGAAATCAGTTAATGTAAAAACTTGGCACCAGATAGTGCCACCAGGGAGATGCCTATACAAAGAGGTTAATGTGTAAAGGTCAGCGTACCCAGGAAGGCGTTGACAAGGATACCGACTCCACTCATGGCTTTAAAGAAGATGTTTGGTAGCTGACTGTCACCTCTTCTCAACACCTCCCCCTGTGAAACTTGAGATGGAACAACAGCTGCTGTGCGACTAAGCTCCACCGGATTACTGGGGGTCAATGAAAAGACATGTCACATGCCAAGTTAAAAACATCTGACCATGTTTCTGAAGCAATTGTTACCTAAATAAGTGCAGGAACCTGAACCAGGTCTGGGGGATTCGTTTATCATCCATGTCCTCGGGGATCAGGGCAGCATCTTCTTCTGGGACTTTAAAGTGAGGGAATGATGGCCCAAAAGTCAGCTGCAGCAACCTGAGCACATTACAGCAATGCAATTACGGACAAAAAAACCATAGGAGTCTGCTCAGTGACGGGTTGCTTCTCCCCAAGTCTAGGACCAACAGACATAAAAACTCCTTTGTCCCACATGCCATCAAACTATTTAACTCCTCGCTAGAGGGAAGGGGGAGGGGAAACGGGAGGACAAAGGAAGGCGGGGACAACTAAACTTTAGTGTTTGCACAAGCTAAACACTAAACAAGAACTAATCACGCGCAATAGACTCACAACAGTCGCAATAATGTGCAAAAGACATTTGGCTGCTACATCTCATTAATGAGTATATTTCATTGCTTATTTATATATTCTGTATTTAAATATGTATATATATGCTATATTTATGCTTATATTTATATTTTATATTCATATCTATCTATCTATCTATCTATCTATCTATCTATCTATCTATCTATCTATCTATCTATCTATCTATCTATCTATCTATCTATCTATCTATCTATCTAGTAGATAGTAACAACATAGCACCAATAATCCAACAAACAAACAATACAATATAGTTCCCCAACAACAACAATAAAAACATCTCCCCATGAGTATTTTGTGGCTGCTGCTGGACAGAACTCAGTCACAGTTTGTGATGTTTCTGAACCTGGAAGTTAAGGCTGCAACAACTCTGCACCACTGTTCCACAACTGCAGGCTGATGTCTCCAGCTGCTCAACATCTGTCTGCATGTCTGCCATAGTGAGCGAGATGGAAAACATCGAGAGCAAGACAGCAGCCACACTTCAAGGAGCACTGCCATCAACATGTCTGATACACCACCTATAGAAATACAAGGACAGGTGAAGAAAGACCGGTGAGACGCAGACAGGAGAAATGGACAGGAGAGACAAATAAAGATACAGGGGGTTAGGATAACTATCACCTGCAGCAGTTGCTGGAGACAGCATGGCATGGTTGATGCGAAGCAAGAAGTGCAACAGAGTCTCCCAGGTGTCTCTACTCATCATGGTACTCTCTTTAGCCAGTACTTGGACAGCACACAGAACCTGCTGATAGAGAGACAGGTAGACCAGATTTACCTGGTCAGACCTGAGTGGAGAGTCAAGAAGAGAAGAGTTCAGAAAAAAACAGTAACAAGTACAACCACATTGATCTGCATGACACCACACTAATGGCTAGTCGTTGGATATGATTAATAGAAGAATTTTATCTTTAATAATCACTGTCTCAACTGGTTTTGGTCTGGTAGGTGTCACTAAATAGAACAGCTTTGTGCAACATAAGGTAGAAGAAACATCAACTATATCAATCTGACCTGACCGATATTCATCAGCCAGTAAAATAAGTATTGATAACTGTTAACACGTATAACATGTTGTTATAACCACATGAATATAATATATGGCTTAACTGGACTCAAAGAAGGGCTGAGTAGCATCTAAAAACATCAGGTATTCAAAACTAACAAGGTCCTTAAAGGTCAATGGTTCCTTAGTGGATCCCTGTATGGGATCAGTAAATCAGGGTAATCAGGTCTAGGAAAGATTGTCTACCTGGGCAAGAACAGATTGAACAGGTGTCGGAGGATCTTCTGGACATACAGGTTGGGGTCTCTGCTGATTGGTGGAGGAGTGGAGTCTCTTGGGGAAACCAGGGCCATTAGCCAATCAGTGTAGATGTCCACGCAGAGTTTGACGGTATCTCCTTCTAGTGGGAGAGTGAGGCCATAACACAAGACCTCCATTGTCCACTTTACCTGCATATTCAGATTATCATTATTATTATTATGTTTCTGTCCTCAGTGATTAGGATTGAGATTAAGATTCAGATGTTTCTTTTGTATTTTTATGATGTGGTTTGTGTTACCTGCACAAGTAAATAAACTTGTTACATTCAGTTTTATTTATGTGGGTTAAATCACAATAACAGTCACCTCATGAGTACTCCAGTAAAGCTAAGAGAGCTGTACAGAGGTTTGGAAGTTACATATACTGTCATAGATACGACTTATGTTTCAAGGAAAATTTACATGCCAAACAGAAAAAGAAGTCCAGACCTGTCATCCACTGAAAATATTTGGTGAATTATTAAACAAAAAAATACAACAAAGGAGGCCTTTGTATCTAGGTTTTAATGATTGGTAAAAGGCTACATTCTCTGTTTATTAATATTTTACACAGCCCCTCTACATTCTTGGTAACAGGGTCTGACTGTATCCAACTTGCTTTGCAGTAAACTGGTCTGGGCTTCAAGTCATTCTTCACTTCCTGCTGTGTTGTCTACCCCCACTGTGTGTTTGGCTTTAGTTAGAGGTCACACTCACCTGTTTGTCTGTGCATAGCAAGCTACGGGTGCCAGGGTTTCCAAGGCCAGCTCCCAGGGGTTTCACCACAGCAACAGCAATATCTCTGCCTACAGAAGGCGGGAAACAGCTGAGCACGCTCACTTGACACCGCCCACCAGACAGTGATTGGTCCATGGTTGGAAATTCAGAGCTCAACTGCATAACAGACACGCAGAGTTTCTTATCGTGTGAACTGCTTAACAGGCCCTTGGCATGGCAGTTAAAGTGTAGCTGCAGCTACATTAAAACTGTCAGATGTGAGAACAGGTAAACAGATATCAGCAGCTGCAATCTTCCCTTTTTGCATTTTGTGTACATGTTTATTCTGCAGTCTTTCTAAAGTTCACATGAAGTTGGAAAATCTTTCATCTTTGATGCCTTGTTGTCAGTTTAACACATTTACACTGACAACTGAATTGCAACATGAATCTCTAACATGTGAGCCTGAAAGTGTTCAGCTCACGGATAAAATTATCTAAACTATTATAAGGTACAATTACGCTAATGTAATCTGAGGTTAATGTCTTACCGTACAATACAATTTGTTATACAATCTATAAATTCAACTGATACAGGATAAAGTGGTTGTTTGTTATTTTGAGTTCATCTAATTTGAAAATATCTCTTCACAGTGTCCATATACAGTCCTTCTCTTAAGAAGAATAGACAGTGGTTAGATGGAGAGAGAAAAGCAGATAATAAAAGAAAGTGAAGGACACAAAGTAAATTGAAGAATAAGATGTGCTGTTGCAAGACATTTGATCACTAAGATCAGGGTGTTTAAATAAAAGTAAATAAATAAAGTTAAGTAAATAAATAAGTCCAGCTTGTATTGAAATAGTACTGCAGTAAATATACTTCCAGAGAAATGAAATACTGATTACAAGACAGTTCAACATTTCTAACAGCAGATTCCACATGAAACTGAAGTATCATACCTGCACAGGTGAGTCCAGCTGAATGGTTTGCAAGTGAAATTCTTCGCTACCACCTGCTGACACCAACAGTGAAATCAAATCAGTTACTCTAAGGCAAAACTTTAAGCTTCAAGTCACCTTCTGCTGCTGCCTTCAGGGTCAGTTAGGAAATGTGACATTTCAGTCAGAACCGGTTTAACTAGAGGTGTACCTCTTGAGCTGTTATTGCCAGACTGCAGCAAAGCACGGTGTGCAGAGACAGTTTTTAGCTTACATTAAACAGATGGATTTAGTATCAACATGTAGGACCTTCCTGATAGGTTGGTGTCATGTAATGACTCTGTTTGTTTTACTGAAAAAGCTCCATGTGTTAGAGTCCAAACCAGTAATTATCTACTGCTATTCATTCAGATGCTGCTCTCAGCAGTAGTTGGTTGCTCAAAATGTTCCCTAAGAACATCTTGATGCTCAATCATCCAGGTAAGGAAATTCCAAAAAGTTGATTCTGTTCATCTGGTCGTAGCGTTTTCAGTGGGAGAGACATTTAGTCGCTCATCCAAGTGACTTCTTCAGTCTCAGCTGACTGCAGGTTTCCCCAACCTTATAAATAGCACCTTTTCACAATGACTGAAACTAGCGCTACTGAATGTGAGGTCAGTTGCTTGAACATTAACTGTCATGACCATTGATCAACAGCCACTGATTAACAACCACTGATCAAAGACCATGAGTATCATTCACAGAGAGTTGGGGAATGGCTGCAATCACAGCATTGTAAGATGGTGACAGATGTACCCTTAAGCCCCCTCCTCGATTTAGAGATGGTCTTTCCCTTTTCACATTAATGGCCTCCTCCTCTTTCAATTATGACGTTGAAAGAGTGTCCACTGGCCTGTAGGTGTAAATAGATTGTGGAGTCCTGGCCTGATGTTAGCTCTTCTGTTTTGTGCCACTGGCTTCGCCAGAGGTTGTTTAGTTTCACCGATGTATAAATAAGGTAATATAGATCTTTATTGTCATTGTTACCAGAACAATGAAACAAACAAAATATATAAAAAAATCTACAGGTACAGTGTAAGGAGTAGGATCAGTGCAGTATAAAGTGTGATGTGATTGCTTGTATTGCACTTTGAGTAAGGGGTAGGAATGCTGGTTGCTATTGTACAGTTATATAATAGAGGTATAAAGTCACAGCAATTCACCAGGCACTTAACGGTGTACAATATATAACTCTATTTGTGTGGAGGGACCTGATCTTTGGAGTGGATACATTTTTGGCGCAGCGTGTTTTGGGGTTTAAAAGCCGCAGAGAGAGAATGTTCTGATACTTATGAGACATAAGGGATCACTGAGGGTTTTCGCTTAGGCAGCAGTTGTCCTTTTTTCCTGGATCGGCTGGAGCTTTCTTTAGGCGCCTTCCCAGCTTTGACAAATGTCCAGCTGGGATAGCTACATTTACTCAGAGCCTTCTTGATGTGATGTTCTTCTGCTTCCCTGGCCGCTGTGTCTGTGGGGATGTGTTCGCTCTGTGTTGTAGCATCCTGATGACACCCAGTTTCTGCTCCTGTGGATGATGAGAGTCAAACCTTAAACACTGATCCGTATGCATAGGTTTCCGGTACACATCAGCTTTTAGATGTCCCTCATTACTGATGGAAATCTCAGAGTCTAAGAAGGCTAACCTGCCACTTTTCATATCCTCCCTGGTGGAGTTAATGTGATCAGTGAATTGTGGTATGTTCTAACATTTGATTTTCACCCATCCATATACCTGAACCAATAGCTTGGTGGTGTTCCAGGGTAGGATAACCAAGCCCTCTTTTCCATTTCTTCCATTACAGTTTGGCCACAGTGGGTGAAACTGGGGAACCCATGGCACAGCCATGTTTCTGCCTGTAGTACTGACCTTTGTGTGTGAAATTTACAAAAGAAGGTTAGGGATGAAAAATCTGACTATTTCACCCCCCAAAACAAAATGTAATCATAGTTTGTGATGTAAATTCTGTTCATTTGATCTAAAATGAGGTCAGATAATTGTCACAACTGTCACATCCAAAAGTTCTCCTGGCATTGTATGAAAAGCAAAAAAATCTAATGGTTTTGAATTACACAGCATCAAGTAGTCAGTGTGCAGCTTGTATAACAGTGTAAATTTTCAATCACAGACCGGAACAGAAACACTTTCTAGACACAAATAACTGTTTCTGCATCAAATTAATATCATCTAAATACATTACAGATGAGAGGAACTGATAACTAGCTCCAAGTGTTACCATTTTATTAGCCACCAGCCACTAGCTTAATAAGAGATAGCCAGTATGGGCTACAAACAGTTCAGTGACTGACATTAGCGTGTGCCTTGGACAGGTTCACATTTAAACAGGTCAATATTTCAATGTTGTTGAAACCGGGCTTCACGAGGATGTCAGTTAGTAAGATTCTTCACCAAGTTTTTTCCCACTATTGTTCATGTGTACAGCAATTACTATGGGAGGGAGGGGGCTATTTGGATAACTGTGTGCACCAGTGTCCTGCCAACTTGTTTGGCAGCTGGTGGAAGCAGAGTTGGCATTATTGCAAATGAGTATCTAGCCAAACGGTTAACCCTGCTCAGAACATATACGACCTACTGTACTCACATACATATAAAATACAGTTGTTTTAAGAATTCTGAAGTCAATAGGTACTGCAAGTATCAGTTCTCATCCCTAATTGAACCATGATGCAGCGAAATGCATGATATTTTCACTGCATAAAAAAGGCTATTAGAGTGCAGGAAAAGGACATTCTTCATTTTTAAAAGCACTTTCTACTCAAAAATTAAACAATGAACAAATGAAGATCAAAGACACTTAAATACATCACTTTATTGATTATTAACAAGTACATGTTTTATAGATTTGACACAATGATACAATGTCCTGCGTTTGATAGCTCAAGTATCAATGGATGAAAGAAAGCTCAGATATCTGAACATAAATGCACTGAAAGCATTATCAAATAATAGCGACTAAGTCAGAGTCCCCAGCAGCTTCGCCAGCTGAGACGCTCAGCTCCAGCAACTTGTTTAGACCCTGGGGATGCCTGCCAGACTGATGCATGAAGGGTTTTCTATCAGAAGAATCTTTTAAATGATTTGACAGTTTTTAATGACACTTGACGCCTTAGACAGCCTTCTTGCTCTGCAGCTGTTTGGGCAGCTTTCTGCGGTCCTTCATGGCGTTCCTCTTCCTCTTCTTGCTCAGGAAGTTGTCCAGTTTGCTGCTCTTCTTCAGCTCTTGGTATTTTTCAGCCAGCTGCAGCTTTTTCATGTCAGCTAGAATCAAGAATAATTGAAAGAACAGTTATTAAAACTTCCACTACCTTCACAGATACTGTCACTGTTTATTTTTTACAGAAATGAAAAGAAAATCAATTCTTATCAACGTTTCTTTTTTCATGATTGCCATCTTAAATCAGAATCAGAATACTTTAATAATCCCTAAGGAAATAGTCTAAGTCACAGCTGGGACCACAGGTCAGTGTATTCCTAATGTCAGTCCCAGTGTGAATAAATGGGAAGGAATGCTGGGGCCAAATACTTAGTGAATCAATAGATGTGCACATTGAAAATAGGCATTCTGAGATCTAGTGATGATCTTCTTACATTTCTTGAAGAAGAATGGTTTTCCACCCTCACTGGCTCTCTCTCTCTGCTGTCTCTTGAACTGCAGCTCTCTCTCTCTCTGCTGCTCTTTGCTCTTCCTTGCTTGGTCTTGGTTTTCCTGCACAAAGTCAAAATTGACATTAAAAAGACCTCCGACGAATAGAACCATGCAAAGAAATTGTAATTGTTTCCATTTATTGTTGCTACCGCGCACGCACGCACGCACGCACGCACGCACGCACGCACGCACGCACACACACATTATAACCCATGCAAAGAACAAAAAACACACCCCTGAAAATAGCCAGTTACACAGACTGGAGTGAAAATCACTGGAAAAAGCAGCAAATGTTTAAAGAAAAACTTTGAGAGCCTGGAGAACTGTTGCATGCAAACAGAATATTGATGCTGCACTGGCCAATTTGATGTTTGATGACCTCATGCAATGCATTACTATAACATGTAAAGTCAAATTTATTTATATAGCACATTTAAAACAACAACTGTTGACCAACCTGCTGTACATTTAAGACAAAAGAGATAAAACATAGGAAGACATGATAAAAATTTAAGGAAGAAGAATAAAATGAGAAGATCTGGATAAGAAATAATACAAGGAATAAAAGTGGGTTCAGGTTTCAGGTTTTGAAAGTGTCCAATGTTGAGGAGGTCTTGAAATGAAGGGGACGTTTGTTCCACAATTTAGGAGCAGTCACAGCAAACAGAGGTCTCCTCTGTGCTTTAATCTTGACCTCAGGGCAGCTAGGAGCATTTGATCTGCAGACAGTGATCTTGCAGGAGTGTACCAGTTTAAAAGATAAGAAAGGTATGAGGGTGCTAACCTCTGCAACATGCAAAAATGAATAATAAAATCTTAAAATCAATTCGAAAACTAACTGACAGCCAGTGTAAGGATGCCAGTATGGGAGATATGTGCTCTCGCTTGCGTGTGGCAGTTAGTAACCGTGCTGCAGCGGTTTTGTTTTTATTTTGTTAAATTGCAAAGTACTTTTACACATACTGCTGAAAATGCTGTTTGCCAACTACAAGCAACAGATTGCTTGCTGGTGCAGCCCTTTAAGAGGTCTGTAGCAACAAGAGGTTGATGATGCATGCTCCTTATATTGCACCTGCTCCTTTGCATGGTACATATAACTGCCATATATCTGGTAGATACTTATGTTACTATGTATATTCCCTGTGTGTAGTTAGCTCTATAAGTCTACTTTTTGGCTTCTCTTTTTTTCTTATTCTAAAGGAATCTACACGCTGCTAACGGAGAGATGCCAAACTGTGTTTCACTGTTCTTGTAACAATAAAGATCTATTCTACTCTATTCTCTTCTATGATTTCATAAATCAACAAACTGAAATGCTTTTCAAGGAAGATGCTTAAATTGTAAAACTATTAATGCGTTTCTAGTTTTTCTTGATAAAAACAAAAAACTAAACTGCATAATTAAAAGTGAATGAAAGGCAGCAAAGACTCACCATCCTCTTCAAAAGGAACTG